GTTTGGCCCAGGCCTCCCTGCAGGGGACAGCAGCTGCCACCTCTGTTCTGGCAGCCAGACAACTCACGTGGACGTCTGGCTGGTCCTCAGTGTGCCCGACAAAGTCTTAGAGATAAATACATGTAATTCTGCGGAGTCCTCTGGGGAAAACATGTGGTAGCACGACAGCACATTCTGATTAAATAGCAGCCGCCGTGTTTGGCATGTGGACACCAAGACACTCGCATCTGGAGCAAGCTTTAGAGGACAGTGCAGCCACATGCTGCTGCATCTCTTCACCGAACACACCAGGACACTATGTCCAGTTTTCCTTCTTAATGTGGGGCTCCAACCCGTCTGACCCGGTACCCTGAGATCCCCAGAATGCTGAGTCTGCACTTTTCCTGTCTGCGTCCCCTCCTCCCTCCCTAGCACGACCTTCCTGTGCCAGCCCTGGTTCTTTCTGGGCCTCCACAGAAGGAGCCCCCTCTGACCCTGGCTTGTGCTCACTCTTGCAGACTCCGGGTAGATACTAAAGCCAGAGGATACTGGAGATTGTCTCGTGTGCAGGGGAATGTGAGCAGAGATGGAGGGCTCTTCCTGAGATCGTACAGGAAGCAGATTCCCAAGGTTCACCCTGTGTCTTTTTAAACTCAGTTTAGCTACTTGCTGAGCGTGGTGGTGCACACCTGTAATCCCAGCCCTCCTGAGGCAGGAGGGTCGAAAGCGCAAGCCCAGCCTGGTGATTTAGCAAGAACACAGAAAAGGGCAGAGGCCTTGGGTTCAATCTTCAGTATCAAAAAATAAAATAAGCCGGGTGTGGTGGCGCACGCCTGTAATCCCAGCACTCGGGAGGCTGAGGCAGGGGATCGTTGCGAGTTTGAGGCCAGCCTGGGCTACAAAATGAGTTCAAGACCAGCCTGAACTGCATAGCGAGACCCTGTCTCAAAAAAAAAAAAAAAAAAAAAGTCTGCAAGGTGACAGCCACTTCCCAGAGGTTTCTTCAGGTCCAGACCTGAGCTGCCCTCTCCCTTGTGCTCCTGAGGTGCTGGGAAGCTGGGAGCACGATACAATGGTCCTTCCCATTCTGGGGCGTCTACCTTGGGAAGTACAGGGATGACATGAAGGCAGGGAGAGGGCAGGACCCCATCTAGGAGAACCCAGCCACTGCGGTGCGTCCAGATGTCCCAAAGCGAGCAAGCATCGTGGGACCAGATACTCTGCCCCGTGCCTGTCCAGAGCTCTGTGGCCACCTTCCCCGGGGGCATCCTCCCCAGCCCGCTGGTGTACCCGCACACAGCTGCAGCGCTGGTTTCTTTCCTCCACCCACCCCCACCCCGGTGTATGCAAGCCACCTGTAAGAGTCCCTTCCAGGACAGGCTGCCTTCAAATCCGCTGTCTCCTGCAGCCCGCCCGGCTCTCCAGTGAGCCTGCTGCATCATCCCTGGCTCCCTGAACAGTTCTGTGCTTCCCAAGCTGGGAATGAGCCAGGCGTGGTGATGCATGTCTATGATCCCAGTACTCAGGAGGCTGAGGCAGGAGGATTTCCTCAAGTTCAAGGCCAGCCTAGGCTACATAGTGAGATCCAGTCTCAAAAAAATCAGAGAATAGAATTTCATTTGCAGCAGTGATTGAGAAAAACACACACTGTGTTCAAAAAAATCCTTTCTTTTCTCCTCTACTAGTTTTAGGAGATGCGTTCTGTCATATCTGCAGAATTTGACCTTTCCTTTCCATTTTGCACAGGCTCTTTAGAACAGTGTGGTCGGGGAGAGTGCAGGAGCAGCGAGCCACTCCTCCGCGGCCCCCGGCCGTGGTCCTGCTGCTCCCTGCCGCCTCCAGCCTCCAGGGGTTGATGATGACCAGGTGTGGGAACATCTGGCCCAGCCGCAGGGTGCTCGGACTATTGAAGCCAAAACCTCTCCCTACAAGAAACAGCCACTGGTGGGGCACTACCTCCATGGCCAGCAGGTCGCCAGCTGTGCTATCCTTTGTCCCTACCAGAATTGGATACAGGTGCTCCTTAGCTTTTGGCATTCCAGTTCACTGAATGAATTTCATCTTTCTTCTTCTTTTTTTTTTTTTTTTTTTTTTTTTTTTTTGTTCTTTTTGAGACAGGGTCTCGCTATGCAGTTCAGGCTGGCCTTGAGCTTACTTTGTAGCCCAGGCTGGCCTCGAATTCCCAATGATCCTCCTGCCTCAGCCTCCTGAGTGCTGGGATCACAGGTGTGCTCCACCACACCAGGCTTCATTTTTCTTCTTGTAGCTTTTTTCTTCTTCCTCTCCTTCCTCTTCTTCTTCCTCTTTTTCTCTTCTTCTACTGGGGATTGAACCCAGGACCTTCCACTACACAACATGTCTAGCCCTTTCCTTTGAGACAGTGTCTTGTTAAAATGCCCAAGTTGTTCTCAAATTTGAGATACTGGGCCAGGGATATAGCTCAGTGACATAAGTGCCTGCCTGGCAAGCACAAGGTCCTGAGTTCGATTCCCAGTACCAAAAAAAAAAAAAAAGAGAGAGAGAGAGAGAGATCCTTCTGCCTCGGCCTCCCAGAATGCTAGGGTTCCATTGGTGTTTGTCTTAATGCTGATCACAGCCCATGCAAACGATTCCAGGACCCACCCGTGGGCAGCAGACTGCAGTCCAAAAACCATGTGGGGGACATGGCTGTCCTGGTTCACATGCTGATGTCCTCCTAGCATGAGCCCTGATGGCACACTCCTGTACAGCAGCAGATCCACTTTGTAGACCCACAGGCCACACAGGCGCACGGACTGATTCCGACATCAGAACATTCCAGCAATTCCCTAAAAGATTTTACCATTCTTTTTGGGTTTTGTTTTGTTTTGTTTTTGACACAGGGTCCAACTCTGTAGTTCAGACCCGCCTTGACCTCACTAGGTAGCCCAGGCTGGCCTCAAACTTGAGGCAATCCTCCTGCCTCAGCCTCCTGAGTGTTGGGGTGCTATGGCCATACTACCCGAACGCGCCCGATCTTGTCTGAGTGCTGGGATGATAGGTGTGCACCACCACATCTCAATGACTTTTCCTGATGAGCTCTGGGAGGTTTTATGACACTGCGATTACAGGCACCTGGCATCACGGATGTCAGGATGCAGCATGTGTCCTTGCAGAGCTGTGGCTCAGCTTCTCACAGGCCGACAAAGTGCCTGAAGCAGTAACCTTAGACAGAGGGAAGGTCTGTTCGGCTCAGGATTTTGGAGCTTTCGTCTCATGGTCAGTTGGCTCTGTTGCCTTTGGGCCTGGTGGTGTGGCTGAACTTGGTGGTGAGAGCTTACAGTGCACTAGCTGCTCATTTCATGGGGGCCAGGAAGCCAAAGAGGCAGGGCTGAGCTGGGGCCAGGGTCTCCTTCAGGGAGTCACACCCAACTTCCCCCACCAGGCTCCGCCTCCTAAGGAGGCCCTCATATAGGGGTCTTCCAGGACATTTAAGTTCCAGGTGATTTTTTTTTTTGGTCTTTTTGAGACAGGGTCTTACTATGCCATTCAGGCTGGCCTTGAGCTCACTTTGTAGCCCAGGCTAGCCTCGAACTCCAAACAATCCTCCTGCCTCAGCCTCCCGAGTGCTGGGATTACAGGTGTGAGCCACCACACCTGGCTAAGGTCCAGATGATTGCAGTAGGTAACACCAAAAGGTCCCTAACCATACCCAGGCATACACCCTAGCACTTAGGAAGCTGAGACAGAAGGATCACCACAAGTTCAAGGCCAGCCTGGGCTATATAGTAAGTTCAGGGCCAGCCTGAACTGCATAAGGAGACCCTATCTCAAAAACAAACCAAAAAAGAAAAAAAAAGCACTTGCAGTAAGACAATCAGATTCTATTGCTGGGCGTGGTGGTGCACGCCTGTAATCCCAGCACTTGGGAGGCTGAGGCAGGAGGATCATTTGGAGTTTGAGACCAGCCTGGGCTACAAAGTGAGCTCGAGGCTAGCCTGAACTGCATAGCAAGACCTTGTCTCAAAAAGCCAAAAAAAAGGGGGCTGGGGATTTAGCTCAGCGGCAAAAGCGCCTGCCTGGCAAGCGCAAGGTCGTGAGTTCGGTTCCCGGTACCGGAGAAAAACCAAAAAAAAAAAGCCAAAAAAAAAAAGAAAGAAAATGAGTTTCCATGAAAGAAAGAAAATGAGTTTCCATGAGAAAAACAGGCTTTAGCTGTCACCTCAGTTGGTTTTCTTTTTTTTTTTTTTCTTTTTGAGACAGTCTTGCTATGCAGTTCAGGCTGAACTTGAGCTCACTTTGTAGCCCAGGCTGGTCTCTAACTCACAATGATCCTCCTGCCTCAGCCTCCCAAGTTCAGTTGGTTTCCTGTTGCTACAACAGCACACCCAGGCCGGGTACTTTATAAAGAGGTGTGGTCAGCTTCTACTCTGCAGCACCAGCTCCTTGTCAAGGCCTTCCTTGTCACTCCACCCCACGGCAGGGACGGAAAGGGAAGGGGCGTCAGGGATGGGCGTGTTGGAGAAAGTGAGGCGCAGAGAGGAGCCAGCTCGCTCTTACAGCACCCGTTCTGTGGGAGCAGGCCTGCCCTGCCCGGGGACAGTGGGACCATTCGCGGCAGGAGCCCCATGGCCTGACCATCCCCCACCTCAGCACTCCGTCCCTCGGGACCCTGCTGGTGAAGCGGGGGCGTTCCCAAGCCGCAAGGCTCGCTGTGGGTTTTGTTTGGGTGGGGAAGAACGGGGAGTGGAGGATTGGATCCAGGCCTTGCAGGGAGTCAGGTGCGGAGGATCGAAAGCTCAAGCCCAGCCCGGGCAGTGCGCGACTCAGGGCCGGGGACGTGGCTCCGTGCACAGGCCCCGGCTTCCATCCCCAGCGCTGCAGAACCGGGACCGTAGCAAACCCTGGCGCCAGTGACGCCCACACCGAGTTCCCGGGTGGTGACTCCGTCCCCACTGCTGTCCCCTGAGCTTCTGCCCGCCCTGCCCTGCGCGGGAGTCTCGCCCCCGCCCCGCCCTCCGGCCGCGGCCCCCCGCTGACGGCCTCTCGCTCTCCCCGCCCAGCACGCTGTCCAAGTGCTGCCACGCGGTGGTGGCGCTCATCTACCCCTTCCGCTGGCAGCACACCTACATCCCCGTGCTGCCGCCGGCCATGGTGGACATCGTGTGCTCGCCCACGCCCTTCCTCGTCGGGCTGCTGGCCAGCTCGCTGCCACTGCTCCGGGAGCTGCCGCTGGAGGAGGTAAGGCGGCCCGGCCCCCCCCCCGGGGGAGGCGTGGTGCAGAGGCTGGGGACACGGGGCAGGGGACCCCAAGGCTAGGTCTGAGCGGGCCTGCCTGGAGCCGGGCTCAGCCGGCCCTTCTGTTGTCCCCTCTGAATGAAGCATCTGTGAGCCACCTAGCCCGGTGTCAGAGCCCCGACAGCAGAAATGGCCGTGGGCCCCTCCCCCGCCCACCGGCACTGAGCACACACACAGCTCACGCAGCTGGGTGTCTCTGAGCCAGAGACAGAGTGAACAAGGACCGTGCACCTCCAGTGTGGGTCTTTTGTCCTATTCAGTTAAAGGACAACCACTGAAGCCAGACATGGGGGCCTATCCCTGTAGTCCCAGGACTCAGGAGGCTGAGGCGGGAAGATCGCAAGTTCAAACCCAGCCGGGGCAACTTAGTGACTTAGCAAAACCGCATCTCAAAATACAAAAAGATGGAGGCTGTAGCTCAACGCAGAGGCCCTGAACCCAAGCCCCGATATGACAAAACAAAAAGAAGACAGGAGCAGGGCAGGGGGGCAGCCAGGACGCACATGGCCGGCCATGCCGTTGGGCAGGAAGCCCCTCCTACTTCTCCGTGTAGAGGAGGCGCAAGGGCCCCTCCCCAGCTGCCTCTGGCCACCAGGGGGAGGGGGAGGCTGAGTCTACCTCTGAGCCGGTAGCCTGGTAGCTAGGCCTCGTTCTCTGTCTGCAGGTCCTGGTGGTCGACCTCATCAACAACCGCTTCCTCCGGCAGGTGAGGGGGGCTGCCCCAGCCCTGCGCCCTTTGCGTCCGTCTCCTCCGTCCTTGGGGTTCAGCTCCCCGGCTCTGGAAAGGCCCGGGGGTAAGAATGAGACAGGCGAGGCAAGGAGGAGGGCGCTGGCCAAGGATCGAGCTCCTCTGTGCTGGCAGGAAAGGATTTTCTAAGAATTCGAACCAGAACACAAAATTACATGCGTGAAGGCCTGTTTGCTTTCGTAGTGCTCAAGAGCTAACCCAGGGCCATGCACTTTTTGGCAAACTGTATCACTGAGGTAGCCCCAGTACCCAATACCATATCTTAAAGAAAGAGAAGCCAGGAATGATGGTGCACGCCGTAATCCTAACACTCAGGAGGCTGAGGCAGGAGGATCCCTATGAGGCCAGCCTGGGCTACACAGTGAGTTCAAGGCCAGCCTGAGCTACATAGCGAGACCCTGCCTCAAAAAAACCCCTAAACATTAATGCTGGTGCCTTAGAGAAGCAAGCAGGGAGACAAATTTTTAGTGATTTTCATGTTTTGTTTCATGTACTGTGTGCCTGAAATGATCACGGATTACTTTCATTACCAGAGAAATAGCACACATGCGTTTTTTATCATTTGTCTGAGAGCTCTGGCTGCTGTGAGATCTTGCAGAGAATAACTACACTGGAGGCTGAGCAGGAGGATTTGAGAGTTCAAGCCCAGCCTGGGCGACGTACTGACTTAGCAAGAGCCTGTCCCCAGATTGAAAAGAAGATCCGGGGACGTAACAGTGTGAAGGCCAGTCCCTGGTACCGCAGAACCAGGAGAAGGGAAAAGGGGTTAATCCCGGAGGGGCTGGCCGGCTCTGACAGCAGTGCACTAAAGTTGCTGCAGGCTAAGAGCCGAGCAGTGTAGACGCCACTTTCCTCATTAGCTCCTGTCCCTGCCAGAGGCCCTGCGGCCTGCTGTGGGCCCAGAGCCTGAGCAAACACACCTGTCCACCTTGTGCCAAGCACTTGCCCTGGGCCCGCAAGTCATTGCTCCTTCCCAGTGAGGGGAATGACAGGGTAGCCTCCTGCACACATGGAGAAACCTGGGCATGGTGGTGCACGCTTGTCATCCCCGTACTGGGGAGGCTGAGGCAGGAGGATCCCCATGCATTCGAGGACAGCCTGGGCTACCTAGTGAGGTCAAGCCTAGCCTGAACCCTGTCTCAATAATAATAATAATAATAACAATAATAATCTGGGCACTGAGCAGCCTACCCTGTGTCTCTACTCCACAGATGGAGGATGAGGACTCCATTTTGCCCCGGAAGCTGCAGGTGGCCCTGGAGCACATTCTGGAGCAAAGGAATGAACTGGCTTGTGACCAGGACGGAGGGTCTCCGGACTGTGAGCATGGTAAGCCTGCCCCTGCTGTGCTCGGACCGTCGGGAGAAAGGGGAAGAGACAGGAAGGGAGGCCGCCACTCCGCTCGCCCCCGATTTCATGCAAGACTTGAATTGTGGGGCCAGCTCCCCACTGCCCTCAAGGTAGCCCTGCAAGGTCTGCAGAGGAGGCAGAGAAGTGGCCTGGGCCGAGCTTGATGGCTCACACCTGTAATCCCAGCACTTAGCAGCTGAGGCAGGAGGATCCCCACGAGTTTGAGGCCACAGTGAGTTCAAGGCCAGCATGGGCTACGTAGCAAGACCTTGTCTCAAAAAACAGTAAGGAAGGCAGAGCAGAAGTGGCTGAATGACCTAAGGTGACTTTTCTCCTGGATGGGGCGGGTGTCGCCACGGCTGTGGCCCCTGCCTGGCTGTCCCAGACCCTCACACCCCGGACCCCTCCCCCCAGGCCCCGCGTGCAGCCCCCTGAGCGAGGTGGTGTCCGAGGCCTTTGTGCGCTTCTTTGTGGAAGTCGTGGGCCACTACCCGCTGTTCCTGACGCCGAGCGCAGGCGAGCGCGAGGAGCGGGCCCTGCAGCGCGAGGCCTTCCGCAAGGCCGTGTCCTCCAAGAGCCTGCGCCGCTTCCTCGAGGTCTTCATGGAGACGCAGACCTTCCGGGGCTTCATGCAGGAGCGCGAGCTGTGCCGGCAGGACGCCAGGGGTCAGTGCCTTCCCGAGGCTGTGGGGCGAGGCTGTGGGGCGCGCAGGAGCCCAGCACCACCCACCCACCCTGCCCCACCCCTCCCCGCTCCCCTGTCCACTGGGGCCCCTCCAGGTGTTACCTGTTACCTTGCAGAACCCTCCAGAACAGCCAGGTGTGGCTCACGCTTACAATCCTAGCACTCCGGAGGCTGAGGCAGGAGGATAGCAAGTTTGAGCTCATTTTGGGTAGGTTAGCAATTTGGTGGGGCCCTGTTTCAAAATAAAAATAAGGCAGCCTGGCATGGTGGTGCAGGCCTGGAAGCCCAGCACTTGGGAGGCTGAGGCAAGAAGATCTCTGTGAATACAAGGCCAACCTGAGCTACATAGTGAGTTCAAAGGCAGCCTGAACTACACAGCAAGGCCCTGTCTCAAAAAAAAAAAAAAACCCAGATCAGTAAATAAAATTGAAAACTTTAAGAAGCCCGGAGGTGCAGCTCAGTGCAGAGGTCCCCAGTTCAGTCCCCAATACCGCCGTCCCTCAGTCAGTGTCTGTCCCTGTGTGCTGAAGGAGGCGGGAGACAGAGGCTTAGCAGGAACCAAAGACCCGTCCTACCCCTGGGAGAGGCCACAGAAGGGCCTGAGCTTCCTGAGCTTGGGGTGGGGGCGGGCTCATCCTGGAAACCGTGTGCCTGGTGCAGTGTAGACCCCTGGGAGGTGCGTGCTCACCGGTGACGGGGCTGCGTGCCCAGCCGACTCTGCGGCTCCCGGCACCCGCGGTCAGCTGCTGCCTGCGCCTGGGCAGGTAGAAGGCAACCCAGAGGCGTGCAAGGGGCAGCGTCTCCCAGTGCGGGCGCACAGAGAGAGAGGTGACCCTGCCGGGTCTCTTTCACCAGGGCTGTTTGAGGTCCGCGCCCAGGAGTACCTGGAAACACTGCCCAGCGGGGAGCACAGCGGCGTCAACCGTTTCCTGAAGGGACTGGGTAAGGCCGCTGCCTCCGTCCCACGCATCTCTGTGAGGGACTTGGGCAGTTCCCTCACAGAGCCAGCGCTGGAAACAGTGTGGGGCTCTGCCATCCCCACGGGGCAGGTGAAATGGCATTTGTATGTCCTGTGCCGATTTGTCCCCAACCTGTAATCCCAACACTTGGGAGGCTGAGGCGGGAAGATCACCACAGGTTCAAGGCCCTTTCGGGCTTCAGAGTAAGTCCAAGGCCAGCCTGACCTATATACAGTAGTGAGACCCCATCTCGGAAAAGAAAGGGGCAACAGTTAATTCACCAGTCTTTCCCTGCGCCATTAAATGTTCTTATTTTCTTTCTTAGGCAACAAAATGAAGTTTCTCCACAAGAAATAGCCTGGCTCTGCCTCAAGGGCAAGCTCCCGCCTAGTGACGGCGGGTTGCAGCGGCTCCTGGGAGCGTCTGTGAGCGGCTGGGCCCTGGGGTGTCCCAGGGTGGGGACAGAGACCAGGATGGCCCCAGCCGAGAGCTCAGCCTGTGACAGCCCGCGCGCTGCCTGGAGCCGCCACCAACAGGCAACACATTATTCCCATGGTTGGTTTGGGGGTTTGGGGATTTTTAATCTGAGATGTTAAAAAAGTGGCTTTTCCTCTTCTTAAGCTGGGGCCAAGCTCAGTGCTTCATCTGGCGCTGGGCCGCCGTCTGCACCCCGACCCAGCAGCAGGAGAAGTGAGAACAGGAGGAGGTCCTGCTCAGGACGGGTAGGCGGAGCTGGTGGGGACAGAGCAAGGGCCGGTACCCTGGCACAGCCTTGGGTGTGGAGGAGCCTTTCGCTCCTCCCGCCGGGCCGGTGACGCCACCTAGTGGCCGAGGCCATGGATGCCTGTGTCTCATGGACCAGACAAAGGTGGCTTTGTCTTCTGGAAGCCATAGAAGCATCTACCAGCGCACAGCCTGGGACTCAAGGACACCCACGGGAAGAGCTTGTGACACTGGCTGGAGCCCCCCGGGAGCCTTAGCCATCATGCTGACCGCATTAGCGTACAGACAAAGGACGCAAGAGAGCTGTGGTCCCAGCAAAGTGGGGCTGGCCTGGGGAGATGCAGGGACTCTGGGTAGCAGGAACCAGGGCCACAGGCTGACAGGCGCCACGGGGACAGCGGGAGCAGCAGGATGGGCCCTCAGGGCAGCCCGGGGCCAGCGTCGGGACACCCCCCCCCCCCGGGTCCCCATGGAGTGCCACCCGGAAGTTGGCAGCATGGGTGTGAGATTGTCCTCAGCAGTGACCCGGGGGCCTTTCTGCACTGCAGAGGCCCGGACCTGTCAGGGAATTGGGACCACCAGCCCAGAACTACAGCCAGGATCTGGGGTGCCCATTTTTTTTCCAGAGAAGATCCAGAGTTTATGTCGTGTTCACAAGGACTCCCCCGAAGGTGGGAAGCAGGCTGTGCATAAAGATTACGGGAGGAAGGCCAGGCATAGTGGTGCATGCCTGTAATCCAGCAAGCTGAGGCAGGAGGGTTGCTGAGAGTTCAAAGCCAGCCTGGGCTACATCGTAAGTTCGAGGCCAGGCTGAACTACATTGAGAGACCCTGTCTCAAAACAACAAGAGAGAGCCGGGTGTGGTGGTGCATGCCTGTAATCCCAGCACTCGGGAGGCTGAGGCAGGAGGATCACTGTGAGTTTGAGGCCTGCCTGGGCTACAAAGTGAGTTCAAGGCTAGCCTCAGCTGCATAGTGAAACCCTGTCTCAAAAAAAAAAAAAAAAAAAAAAAAAAAAATCATGCAAAACATTAGCCCAGGGAGCTGTGTGGCAGGGGCCGGGGGAGCCTGGATGAGAATCTTTGAGTGTGGGGCGCAGGAGTTCATGTCTAACAAGTTCCCCACATTTATTTTATTAATGGCGATTCTGTATATTTTTATATTGTCCAGAAATAACCACTCTTAATATTTTGGAATATGCTTTTCTTTTCTAACTTATTTCTTGTTACGTTGTTTACTTAAGACTTCTACATGAATAAATATGCATCTTTATCAACATTCAATGATTGTGTATCTTCTGTTTAGGGATATATTAAAGGTAATCTTGGGGCTGGGGATTTAGCTCAGCAGCACAGCACCTGCGTGGCAAGCGTGAGGTCGTGAGTTTGATTCCTGGTACCAGAAAAAAAACCAAAAAATTAAAAAAAAAAATGTAATCTTGCTGGGCATGGTAGCACACCAATAAAATCCCACCACTAGGGAGGCTGAGGCAGTATTGTTACAAGGCCAGCCTGAACTATATAGTGAGATCCTATCTCACTAAAAAAAAATTATCTCACTGATTTTTTTTTTTTTTCTTTTTTTGGCAGTACTAGGGATTGAACCCAGGGCTTTAAACATTGCTAGATAAGTTCTCTATCATGGAGCTACATCCCAGTGCATTTTTAATTTTGAGTTAGGGTCTAAGTTGCCCAGTTTGGCCTTGAACTTCAGATTCTCCTGCCTCAGCCTCCTGATCTATATTTTTGCTTGAAGTAAAATATACATACAGAAAAGTACGAGCATGGATCATGTGTATCAGCCCCACTGAGTTCCCAAGAGACCACCACTGTGTAACCAAATCCAGAAACAGGAGGACGGGGAACCCCGGACAGCCCTGCTGTGCCCCTTTCCAAATGTCCTTCTCCTTCCCACTCTCCCTCCAGTGTAGCCAGCTGTCCCCCATGCAAAGGGATAAACTAGGTGAGGGGCCTGGAGAGAGGGATCGAAGGAGACTAGCAGCCGGGCCTGGTGGCGATCACTGTAATCCCAGCAGTCTGGGAGGCTGAGGCAGGAGGATGGCAGATTCAAACCCAGCTGGGGCAACTTAGTGAGACACTGTCTCAAAAGACAGGGCTGGAGATGCAGCTCAGCTCAGAGCCCAGGTTCAGTCCCCAGTACAGACCTGCGAGAAGGAGAAGGAGAGCAGTGACTCCTGCTCACAGCTGGGCAGGTTGGTGGTGATGTAGGGGGAAGAAACTCCCAACCTGAACGATATCTGGGATGAGTTCATGTTCTCTAAAATCAATGAATGAATTTTAGGAACAACGTAGGTTAAGAGCAGATTTTTTTTTTTTTTTTTTTTTTGGTCTTTTTGAGACAGGGTCTCACTCTGCAGTTCAGGCTGGCCTTGAGCTCACTTTTGTAGCCCAGGCTGGTCTCTTAACTCAAAACGATCCTCCTGCCTCAGCCTTCCGAGTGCTAGGATTACAGAGTGCTAGGATTACAGTCCTGTGCCACCATGCCCGGCTAAGAGCAGAATTTATTGAGGGAAAGAAAGCATCTGTCCGAGAGAGGGATAGAGGGGGCCCAACTGGGTTGCCGGGAACCTGTCTTTTCCAAGGACTTTTATGAAGCAAAATCACAAGGTGGGGTGGGTCCAAGGTGGGGGAAAAATGGGAAATCACAAGGTGGGACATGAAGTGGGACAAAACTGTGGTCAGCCAATAAAAATTGTTCAGGTAAAATTGACTAAATCTGACTGCCTATCAGCTGCCTGTAGCAGTGGGAGGGGCCTGGAGGAGGGCGGGGCTTTTGGGTTTAGGGTTTGGGGTTGATTGCCTGTCCCTTTTTTGCTGTGCAGGGGTGGAGCGCCGGGCCTCACTTGTGCTAGGCGAGCACTGTGCCTGCTCTCCACCCCTGGCCCAGGAATGCCATTTGGTTCAAAACAACGCGGCTGGACTGGTACGGAGTGAGATCAAGGAAATAAACGGCAGTTAGTATACAAAACCCAGCACAAAGCAAGTTTCCAGAAAGCCTGCGTGTGCTAGGGTGCATCCCCACCCTCGGCTTTGGGTCTCACCTCCTACAGATTCCTCTAGGAGCCAAGGCCTCTAATTCCGGGAGGCTGAGGCAGGAAGATCACAGGTTCAAGCCCAACCTGGGCATTTTGGCGACTTAATGTCTTAAAATACCAATTGTAAGAGGTCTGGGGATAAAGCTCAGTGTGAAGGCCCTGGGTTCCATCCCCAGTATGGGGTGTGGGGAAGATAGCATACATTTTCTATTAAGAACATTTAAGGGGTTGGGGATATAGCTTAATGGCACAGTGCCTGCCTGGCAAGCTCGAGGTCCTGAGATCAATTCCCAGTACAAAAAGAAAACATTTAAAAGATGAGTGTGGGGCCAGGGATATGGCTCAGTGGCACAGCACCTGCCTGGCAAGCATGAAGTCATGAGTGCAATTCCTGGTACCAAAAAAATAGTAAAAGCTGAATGTGGTGGCGCATGCCTATAATCCCAGCACTAGGGAGGCTGAGGAAGGAGGATGAGTCCCAGGCCAGCCTGGGCCATGTAATGAGTTCAAGCCCAGCCTGAACTACACAGGGACCTTGTCTCAAAACAAATAAACAAACAAACAAATATAGTAGATTGAATTCCCACTAACAGCTGCTATTGTTTCTTTTTGCACACCGCTATGCTAATTTATGTTAATGTATTCATTGCCCAGTAAACTTCAGAAAGGCATCAAGGTGGGGCGTGGTGGCACTCCTGGAAGGCAGCTGTGCTCACCACTGTACCACCAACACCGTACATATGGTGGCACTCCTGTAACCGCCTGTAATTCCAGTACTCGGAGGCTGAAGCAGGAGGATCATTGTGAGTTCAAGACCAGCTTGAACATAGTGAGACCATCTCAAAAAAATCAAGTTTGCTGCTCAATTTGGAACCTAAAACCTGAACCTGGCAACAGCATTTGATGAATAAACAAACAATTCCCACCATACTGCACAAAAGACAAGTCTGTCCCGAGACCGAGGCTTCACAGAGACCCTGTGTGCCCTGCAGCCAGTCCAGCGCTCAATCACGGAGGTGGCCTGGCTCCCCTGTGACAGCTGTCCCCTGCATCTCAGGGACCAGGCTGGCACACCCTGGGCAAGAGCTCTGCCACTGCGCCACACGCAGACTTCATCCAGGACCCTGTCGGCAGTGTGCAGTGCCCAGGGCCACACTGCTCCCCAAGGACAAAGTCGGCCAAAAGCTTACCAAGGCCCAAGGGCCATCATGCGGTTGCGATCGCCTCAAACTCGAAAACCTCCTGTCTCAGCCTCCCGAGCGCGGGGATCACAGCCCAGCGCCACTTCACAGGGCTAAAACGAACCGTCTGGAAGCGAACAGGTCGGTGCATCCACCATGGGCACTCCTCGAATTCCAGAACCTTTCCCTTACCCTAAAAGGGGCCAGGAGGCACCCAGGGCCGCGCAGACTGCGCTGAGCTTCGTGGCCACCGGCTGGAGGGGCTGAGGCCGGCACAGATGGTGAGTGGCGGTGGCGCGGGCACCTGCCTGGCTCCCTGGCTCACCTGGTGACCGTGCGGCCCCGACCCTGCCCCAGGCGGGTGCCGTGCCAGCGCTCTGGCTGCAGTTCACAGAGGCCTCGTGCCAGCTTCCCCAGCACCAGACCAAAGCGCAACCGGTCTGCAGGGCGCCCAGCCCGAGAGGCGGCGCCTGCAACCGACCCCGCCCACATCCACGCAGCCTCACCAGAGAGCGCCCGCAGCTAAGTGCACTGCCCAGCCTCCCGCACGGGTCATCCGCCCTCTCCGCCAGCCCAGGTTAGGTGTCAAAGGGTTGAGGTGGCCACCCAGCCAGCGGTACCGCAGGGTCAGCCCCGGCGGTTCCCCGGGACCCTCTTTCCTCTCCCTGCCGGCGGTGACCACGCCCCCTCGAGCCCCCCTCAGGGCGCCAGCCTCAAGTCCCCAGCAAGGCACAGCTTGGGAGTGAGGCCAGGCCACCCACACCCTCATTACCTCTGAGCAGGGGCCCGCAGAGGGTGCTGGGGCTGAGGGAAGTTCAAAATGGACTCTGCCAGCTAGGCTTGTAATCCCAGCACTCTAGGAAGCAGAGGCAGGAGGATTGCCAAGTTCTAGCCCAGCTGGGGCAATTTAGTAACTTATCAAGATCCTATCTCAAAATACCAAAATTAAAAATGTGCTCAGTGGGAAGACCCAAGGTTCAAGCCCTAACACTGAAAGAAAAAAACAGCACTCTTTCCCTCTGAAAATTTGACCATTTTAATCTATGAAACTAATAATAGAGAATAAGAGATAAAAGAACCTCTTTTAAAACTACATTCCTAAGGTACTGGAGTATTAGATTTGAAATGAGTTTTAAAAATATTTAAAAACTGGGTGTGGTGTCACACACCTGTAATCCCTGCACTCAGGAGGCTGAGGCAGGAGAATTTCAAGAGTCTAAGGCCAAGCCTGGGCTACATAATGAGTTCAGGGCCAACCTGAACCACCTAGAGACCCTGTCTCAAAAAAACCAACACAACAAAAAATAATCAGCAGAACCATGCCCCGGGGACAGATAAAGAGGTTCAGGACCCGTCTTTAAGGAACTGGCAGCTATTTGGGGTTTTCTAGCAACTGAGCGGCTGAGGGACTGCATCACTGGGGTTTGTGTAGCTGGCAGCTGGGTGGCCCTGGGCATGTCCGGGTCTGGTTGATCACTGTCTCAGGGCGGGCCCTGTGAGGCCCAGAGAGAAAGCCGTCATTGCTATCTCTTCCCATCATGCTTCG